GGGGCCGCCCTCCTCCTCCTCGTCCTCCTGCTGCTCTGCGCGGCCCCCGGTGAGTTCAGCGCCCGGGCCGGGGTGCGGGGTGGGCAAACCTAACCCCCCGCATGGCCGGGGAAAGAGAAAAAGCTTTCCGCTGCGTCCTGCGTGGGTCACTCCAAAACTTGTGCAAGTTGAGCATCTTTTTTAAAGAGCTTGGGTTTGAGTGAATGAAGCATTTCGGAGCGGCCGAGAGCTTGCAGGTCTCCTGTTGCAAGGCTAAAGCCTTGGATCCCTTCAGGGAAAGGGTTAGGACAACGGCTTTGAAGCAATTTGGGACAGGCTGCGAGGCAAAATTCTGAAGCAGCCTGGTTGTCAGCATGCCCCTCGCTCCGTGACAAGGGTTTTCCAGGGTTATCGTGTCGCCCTGGACACTGTGTCACAGAACTGGCACCGGCTGCAGTCTTCTGCTGAAAAATATAATCAGTTAATTGGCCCAGAAGGCCAGTATCAGGGTTCCCTTGCCAAGAAGAGCTGGAGAGAGGCTGCTGGAGCATCAGCAGCTTCCCTGCAGCGTGGAAAGGGGAGCAGAGGGAGGCACTGGGGAGAAACTTGCTGCAGAGTTTTGCCTGGTGGTCTGGAGCTGTGAGAAAAATACTTTCAGCATTTTTCAAGATACGTTTTTGTTGTTGGTTTTTTCCTTCTTAGTAAACGTATGTGTTTTATTTTTACTTGTCTAGATCTTTCAAGGGGAAATAAGCTTAAACTGATGCTTCAGAAACGTGAAGGTAAGTAAAGAGACAGCAAAGTTCTTTCCCTTATTTTTCCTTTGCATCAGTTGCTATCAGTCAAAGCCGCCACTGCGTTGCCACTCTGATCTCCAGCTCAGAGGAGAGGGCAGTCGGAGGAGCAGTGTACAAACACCCGGTTCAAAGCTGGGAGCGCACAGTCGCTCTTGCTCCATACCGTACCGAAATCTCCTGCACTTACGGTGCCAGCCCCGCAGAGCCTGTGCCTGCGTGTCTGTTTGGGACTCGGTACTGGCAAGGCCGGAGGCTCTGCTTACCACAGCCCTCTCTGAAAACCAGCGTTCCCAGCCTCAGGCAATACGCCTGCGGTTTGCTCCGCACAGTTTAGCACCTACCTTTTCCAGTGTATGCATGGCAGACGTGGCGTTTATCTTGTTTGTTCTGGGAAGTCACAAGCTTTTCCAAGGAATTATAATGCATGGAAATACTGCTGGCTCAGGTGCAGAGAAGAAAATGTGCAAACCAGGCTTGCTCGTGATGCCTTGACTTGTTCCCTTTGTCCTCTTGGCCCCACGTGTGCTTCCTTCTTGGAAGACTGCTCCTTATGGGAGAGATGATGGCCAAGGGCCCAGCAGGCAGATCCACTGAATGGCTTGCTGATTGAGGGAAGGGGATGGAAACGGAGCTGGCTGGGGACAAGCAGCACTGCAGCAGATGGGGGCAGGCTGACACACCCCAGAAGTTTAGGTTGCCTCCTCTACGTCTGAGGCAAAAATTTACACCCCCCCGCAGAGGGGACTCCCCCTTTCTGCAAGCCTGCCTAACTTCTCACTGGGTTTTTCCTGGCATCACCCACCATTTCTTGTCAGTCCTAAAACGTGCGCTCCATCCATGGCTGTTTTCCTTGCACGTGGGTTCCCTACCTCACTGTTCTGCAGTGCTTGCACGCAGATAGGAGCGACAACTTGCAACAGCCGCCTTCCCTGCGCACCAGCAGCCGTCGGCTTGTTTGTTCGGGTGCCCTGGTGAGAGGGACTCCCTGGGGCGAGGCTTCTGGAGCACGGAGACAGCACGGCCCAGACGAGGAAGAACTGCAAAGCCTTGAAGCGATGATGGAGGGAACATGCAGCCCCTTAATTCCGGCCTCACTCCCCTTTTCCAGTTGTGCGCTAAAGCGGGCAGGCTGAGTACACAGTGCTGGTTCCCTTGCTGGCGGTGTCCCTCGTGCGAGGCTCGTTCACCTGACACTTGTTCAGCTGTCCCGCTTCCCGGTAATAACACCCAGCTCGAGCGCTGGGTTACCAGTCCCCAGCTCATCACCGCAGGGCAGCCTGCTGTTTCCCACTCTTTCTGTGACAACTCAGCTATCGATTTTCCCTCGTGATTCTCCTTCCTGCTGCAGTCCTTTGCCTCCCCCTGCGAGCCTGCCCAGCTCCTGCTTCAATGGTTTTCACATCTCCACCCGACTTCCCCTTCTGCCCCAGCCTCTTCCCTCGCATCCTCCCGGAATCCCCATCCACACCCATGTTCCCAGTCTCTCCCTCATTACTACGAACCCTCTGAAGCTAAGATGTTCCTCCTACACTTCTTGTTTCACGGGAAGACCAAACATCATACCACATTTTATCATTTCCGTGCATGGCAAGGGGCTAGCCAGTCCTCACATCCATACCTTACGGAGGTACATAAATCCCTCCAGCAGCCGCAGCAAACTGCCTGCCTCTTAGGCATGGGGCAACCCAAACGGGCATTCCCATGCATTCACAAAGCACTGTGCTATGAAAGTCTGATGGGCTCTTATTTTCAGGCATAGAGGGCATTTAGTAGCACTCATTATTTAAAAGCTACGTTTTTACACAACAAATTCAAAAAAATCTGCCTTTTTATGTGTGCCTCCCTTCACCCTAGTAAGTTAGCAGTGTTTCTCCAGCTTCTTCAGGCTTTTTAACCTCACCTCTCCTCTTCTTTCCCGTTCCTGTAACAGCAGTATGTGGAGGGCAGTCTCCTGTACTCTCCTCAAAGCGCAACGCAGTGTATGCTCTTTCAGTTTGGGTTTATTTAAACTCCTTACTTAGCTCATGTCTTTGAGCTCAGAACAGCTTTTATCAAAGCCAAGAGAACGAGGGTAACAGAGAAATCCTATTACATCGACGATTCCTGGGTTTATTACTGTTACTGCCGCGACACGCGTTGTGCCACCGAGCACAAAGGTGATGGCACGATGCAAGAAGCATTTTCTTACTTGCTGCAAGCAGTACGCTTCAGGCTGACTAAAACTTTCCTGGCACGCCTTTTTTTTTGGGGGGGGGGGAATTAATTTCAGCCGTGAAGCCTGAGGTGTCAGTGAAAGAAACAGCAGCCAAGGAGTTCCTAAGCAGCCTGAGACGCCAGAGGCGCCAGCTGTGGGACCGAAGCCAGCCCGACGTCCAGCAGTGGTACCAGCAGTTCCTGTACCTGGGGTTCGATGAGGCGGTGAGTGTAAGGCTGTCCAGAGTTGGTAGGGCTTTAGAGTGAGCGGCTGCCGCCCGTGGATGTGCAGCCACGGGGGCACCCAGGGAGAAGCTGCCCTGTGTCTGTTCACAGGCATTGTGATTTCTTTTTTTTTTAAAGTAGCAGATATTGCACAGACATATAAGCTCCATATTTGTTAGAGATTTCCGCGTTATTTTGTTAATAGAGAAAAATGACATTAAAATCTTGTGTGGAGTTCTTGCCTGCTACTGAACTTAAGCTTAACAAATTACAACCATACAAAGTTTGCTTTGAGAAATAGGTGGCCAGACTGAAAACAATCAATCATATCTCAGGAAATTAATTTGGCAGCCTCAGCCTAATCAATTGGCTTTTTAACACGCTGAGAAATCCACACCAAGCTGGTTGTGATTGGCATTCCTCAATGAAATTGAACTAACATTAGGTTACCTAATGCATGCATACGCCTCTGGTGCGGGCAGCAGGTGACCATCACAAGCAGCCCAGCTGTGCCTCCACTCTAAATGTGAGAGGAAAACCATTTGATAATGTGCAGCCAACCTCCCTTCAAATCAGAAGGATTTTTTTTAAAAAAAAAACAGTTAATTTTTAAAACCCTGGAGTGGAATCAAGAGTCCCCATCTCTGCACAAAGCTCTACTAAATAGATGCTGAAATAGGGCAAAAAATGTGCATTTAGTTGCAGTCCCACATGTAGAATAATTTCTACGTTAATAAGAGGTAAAAGTAGTTATAGATGTTGAATTCTTGGCTTCTGTCAGCTGCATGAATAAGTTTAATGAGACTGCATTGGCACAGGCAAGCTGGAGTACATTTTGGACCTTCATGCTATGTGAATTGCTTAGAAGATGAATGCACTCATTTTCAAAGCTGGAACAATTAGAAAAATAATCCTTTGCTTGGACTGAAATAATGAAGGATACAATTTTTATATCCTCCTGGAAATTATGCAGATAAAAGTGACTTTTTAACAGCATGGCTATATCCCCCTCCCCCAATAGGAAGAGGAAAAATAGGAAAAGTGGTTTAGTGCATCAGAAACTGAAGACTGGGGGCAAATACCAAGAAATAAGTAACAAGGACAAACCATGCAGATAAGATTAATTCTTCTCTGAGTTCCTGTGTGCATTTCAAAAACTGAAATGAGGCCTGTTATGGGATACAATGAATCCACTTAGTAGGTTTTCTTGAGTATTAAGACACAGTTTTAACAATGAAATAACTGTTTGTTCCAGCAAAGGACTTGGGCCATACTTACCCATTGTGTATTTTGCGAAACTTCTTCTTTTTTTTTTTTTTTTTTTTCAAATCTCAGCCAAAAATATTTCCAAAGAATCATTCAGATGGAAAGGCTTTGGCTTGGCAAGTATTTGATATCCTTGCACACTGTTTTCCCTCTGCTGTTGTGAGCAGAATTGAACTGCTTTTTGCATTTCCATAGCTAGAAGGCTGCACTGTACGTTTGTTTTTACCCATACAAAATGGGAGTGAAAGATCACAGGCATAAAGCGAAAGCCTGTTGTACCCACTGTGCAGTCAGGGACATCGTGACTAAAGGCACAGGGCAACAGGGAACCAAACCTTGAGATTTTTTTAAGTAGAAAACATTGAAATGTTTTTATAGTCCCCCACTGACAAGAAAATATGAATATTAAAGGTGGTCAGTGCATGTTTCAGCTGAAGGCACTCTCAGTTTAAACGCTTCACAGTCCTGGGCAGGAGAACGACTGCACTTGGGGCCCTGATGATCCCATAGAGAAGGTAGGTACGAGTCACAAAACCCCTTAGAGCTAAAGATTTTGTTTTGACAAATACGCAAAGAATCTGAATTTCTGAAAGTGACAAAAGGAACCGCTTGCACCACTTCTGTTTCACTCTCTTTGTTGCAAAGTTTCAGGCTTGGAAAGCAAGTGTTTTCTTTTCTTTGGCAGAAATTTGAAGATGACATCTCTTACTGGACAAGTTTAGGGCGTGCTCGTAATGAATACTATGGTGGATACTACCAACACCACTACGATGAAGATTCACCAATTGGCCCACGAAATCCACACACCTTCAGGCACGGAGCAGGTGTCAACTATGATGATTACTAAAGCCCTTTATCCTACTATAGCTGGTGCCTATAGGGCTGCACTGGGTGAGGCAGAGACCTCCCTCAGTCAGAATGACCCTGCTTTCCTTCTATTCATGTAAAACGGCAAGAGTAAAGGAACTGCCAGGCTTTGAAGAAAGCCACGTGACTTTTTTTTTCATTATCATTACTTAGTAGTACACTATATATAAAGTGTTATAGAAATAAAGCTTTTTTGATAAAATAAACAGGTTGCCATTATTTAGTAGAGTTTGTAACAGCAAGTTGCATTCCAATTGTATTACTACAGATTCCTTTTTAAAGGGCTTTTTTATTTGCTTTCCTACCATCAATTGCAAAATTACATTATATAGTTTGGCATATAGAATCCATAATATAAACCGATACATTTCAGATGTGCCTGCTCATTCAGAGTTGTGTCCACAAATAAATTCAATTAGTCTTGGGGAAGAAGAAAAAAACCTCTCCTCTCAATTATAAGTGCCTCCTTGATGCCTCCTCTGCTGTGTCCATACCCACGGCACGCAGCCCTCCAAACTTGTGTGACGTGGCACTTCAACAGTTCCCGTTGGGACAAGGACACAGATGTTCACAGGAGCTAAATTCAGTGCCGAGGAGCTCACCTACCACCAAAGCCTGTGCAAGGAAAGGATTCTCCAGGGAAAGGGCTCAGTGCAGGAACCTGACTTCAGAAGTAACCGCTGAGATGCAGAGCGTCTAACCTGAGTGACCCCTATCCCTCCCAGGCATGATAACCCAAAGGATGTCCGTGATGAATACTCCCCTTTGTGTCCTTTCAACGTAGCTGCAAAGCTTTCAGTCTAGCTCAAAACAGGCAACAAAATAACAAACTAAGCTATTTAAAATGAAGTTAGTCTCAGACAGCATCCAACACAGTCCCCAGACATAATTTCCTCCCATGAGTTTCCTCTATCCCCAATTCAAACTGGAATCTATACACATTAGGCGGAGCATCAAAGTATACCAGAGACTGGGCCTTTGTTAATGAAGTATGGTGGATTAAAGGGGGGTTGGTTGCTGGGGTTGCGTGTGTTAAGAACCCCGAAATACAACCAACTTTTCTACCACAGCAACGTTGCTGCTTCTGTCTGGTTGCTATAGAGAAAGTCCTAAGCCTAGGAGGGAGATTTCAGCTGTCACGGGCTTCAGGAGGAGCTTGGTGGGAGAAAGGACTGCTGGAGCTTGACAAGCATAGAGGGCTGGGAAGAGGCAGGTGAGGAAGGCTGGCTGGCTCCATGACTTCTGGAACTGAAGAATAAGGGTAAAGAGAGATGAAATGTCTACTGCAAGCTACAGCAGAATCAGAGAAGTCAGACAGCATGGATGGTTTAGTTGTCTGTCATTGAAAGCTTACAAGAAGTTTCCAAAGCATGGATCATGGCAACACCATTCTTTACACCTCACTTTTTTTCTTAGCTCTGGGTGTATTTCCTAATCTTTCACTTAAAACCCCTGTTGCGTGATGGACTGGTGTCCAGGAGAGGCAGCACAGCACTATCCTGCTCCCTGCAGGGATGCTTCCAGGGAGACAGCTTTTTGCCGAGGGAGCCAAATTGAGCAAACATGTTAGTCACTTCTCCTCTCCACGCACAGGTATGCGCTAGCCTAACAGGCTCCAAAAACTCAGGTTTCCCTTAGGTTTTGGAGCACTTGCTCTTAGCAGAATCCTTGCCAGTTTAATTGGTTTAAACTGGTGTGTTTCCTCAGCAGAAGAGTCTTTATTCCATATTTGGAATAATCATATTCTCAGTCAAGCACACACTCTTTTGCACAGTTGGAAAACACCTATTCCTAGAAGAATACTTCCATTTTGTGTCCCATAAAAAACTGTGCCGAATTTGGCAACATTTGAACCAGGCTGATAATTTCCATCATTTCCCAGAATTTACAACAACTGGGAATTCAAACCTGCTGAATAACGAAGAAGAAAAGAGTGCTGTAAATAAACACCATCCTTCCCTAGGCCTTTGAAAGCTGTGTCTATTCCTTGCAGGCTGACAGCCCAGCAGCTTTCTGTGCTTTGCAGGCTGACAACAAAGACTATGACCTCTCTTTTCTGGATTCTCTAGAAGAAGAAAAAAAAATCTTTTCCATTACATTGTGTTGCATGCTGAAGTTTCCCATCACATACTGGTGTCTTGCTGGGATAGAGTTAACTTCCTTCATAACAACATATATGATACCGTGTTTTAGATTTGTGACTAAAACAGTGTTAATAACACACCAGTGTTTTTGCTGTTGTTCAACAGTGCTTGCACAGCATCAAGAGTCTTTTTAAACTGAAAGAGAGTAGATTTAGATATTAGGAAGAAATTCTTTATTGTGAGGGTGGTGAGGCACTGGAACAGGTTGCCCAGAGAAGCTGTGGATGCCCCATCCCTGGAAGTGTTCAAGGCCAGGTTGGATGGGGCTTTGGGCAACGTGGTCTAGTGGAGGGTGTCCCTGCCCATGGCAGGGGGGTTGGAACTAGATGATCTTTGAGGTCCCTTCCAACCCAAACCATTCTGTGATTCTATGAAGACTGCCTGTTTCCCATGCTGTCCCCCAGCAGGTAGGCTAGGGGTGGGTGAGAGGTTAGGAGGGGACACAGGTGGGAGAGCTGACCCAGATTGACCAATTCCATACCACATAACCGTACAGCTCACCACTAAAAGCTGGGAAGAGGAAGAAATGTGTGTGTGTGGGGTTTGCCTTCCAGGTTAGTCATTGCTTAGAGACTGGCGGGGCATCAGTCTTGCTTAGGGCAGATGGTGAGTGGCCTTTGCATCACTTTTTTTTTTTTTTTTTCTCCTTCAGTTACTAAACTGCTCCTACCTCAACCCTCAAGTTCGCTCACTTTTGCTTTTCTTAGTCTCTCCTCTGTCCTGTTGGGGCAGGGGAAGTGAGTGGCTCTGAGGGCACTTAGCTGCTGCCTGGGGTAAACCCACATGAGGCAACAGCTCTGAGGAGAGGGCACCCTCATTCTGGCAGAGGGCTGCACCTGACTTGAAGTGCAGCAGTTGCAATGATGCAAAAGTACATGCAATAAGCTACAAAGCAAGAAAGCAAGCATGTGTCGTCACAGGTTTGAGCAAAAGGAGAAAGACTATTAAAAAAGTTCATGGAATGCTTCAAAGTTAACTATATTAACAAAGTTAATTTCCTTTGAATATTTCTGTCCCCAAACAGATAAAAACTGTGTACCCCCTCCCAGCCTTTCTGTTCTGCTGTGCAGACAGTACA